CAAGAAAAAAATTTGTTTCGCCAAGGCAAAACATCGTGTCACAAGTCACAGCACCATAAAATGCACAAATTAAGCTTTAAATTATTTCTGTGCCCACCGTGTAGTCGAGACTTGCCCTCAGCGATTACTACCTTTTTCCGATCAAAAAAATGCTCTGTGGCAAGAGATATCACTCCGATGAGCCTAGAACTAAAGCCTATTCTTAACGCAAATATAAATCCTTTTACCAAATCGCCATCGAAAAATTATTAAAGATATAAATAATTGTATTGTCGCTAAAGAAGATCAGTTTGATGAACAAAGGATAATTTTTGCAAAAAAATCTTGCTTTACTAGTTAAGTCTGAGACTTATTGACCAACGGGTTACACTTCTAAAAAACAAAGTATACTATAAAAACTATAAAGCAAGTATTATACCTTTTTCTACAATTTGTGCTGGAGAAATTAAATTTTTTGGTATTTACACTACAAAAGTATCGCAAATCCTACTGTCTGATACTATCAAATGGAATGTTCGGCATATTCGGTAGGTCTGAGAATCGGTTGTTATCTATTTTTCCTACCCCTAAGGCATAAAGGCGGTCGATCCTAAATATTTTTTTTAATTTTTTGGACAAAATGTTTTATTTTTTATAATGTGATATTAAAAATTACATACAGCCTTTTCTCAAGCTTCTATCACCAACCCCTATTTGGGATATACCCAAATAGTGGTTGGACCTAAATGACCAATGAGAAGGTCACGTGGTCGATAAACCTGGCCTATTAGACAAGAATGTAGGACCCGCTACGCGTCAGTTTTCTGTGTCGCACCAGGGGAACGCAACTGTATTGCAGCTATCGGTCTATCTTGTATTATATATCTATGCGTTGGACACACCTAACCAAATCTTACCAACCAAACCAATAGTAGACACTTTTCTAACCTACTAGATATCCATAGTTATATAGGTGCCAACCTATATAACTATTACTATCCATTATATCTATTAGGATAGTAAAACATGCAGTAAACCTGATCCTACGAAGAAAAGAGTTGTCTAAAAGCACTTGTTAGTTCGAGGTTGAATGTAAGCAAGTCATAAAAATAGGAACCATACATAAAAGCGTATGCAACAAAGAAAAATTGGATCAGCTGTTAAATCTTATAAAGGGCTTAGAAGATATGAGAAACATGTCTACGATAGTAATAAACGGAAGGTTGAGACTAAAATGCTTGCAAAAAGAACTGGAGCCTCTGAAGAAGTAAGAACGGGACAAGAAACTTTTATACAAAAATGCAGTAGTGCAATAAAATCTATGCAGGGCTAATAAGTAGAAAATCCATATCAAAATGATGTAAACGGATTTGCTGTGCACTAATATTATAATTATCTAGATTAACTAGATTTAACACCTTAAGCTTAATGAGAGGGAAGTCGATTCATTAACCTTACAGGATACTAACGTTGCAATTTAGGAAATAAATTAAAACAAAGCACCAGCAAATAGTAAAATCCTCAAAGAAATCTAATACTATTGAGGAGAACTCTAAACAAATAAAATCTACAAAATAGATTAAGAGTATGGAAAGAGTAGCAAATGCCTGTAGAATATAATATCAGTTCAGTCTGCTCATGACACAAAAAAGGTAATCAGCTGAAATGTGACAATTACAGAAAGATATTATCTTGAGTATAATATATAAAATACTGTCTAATATAACTTTAGATATGGTATACTATCTTTAGATATGGTTGAGCTCATATTCTGAAAAAATTCTACGTCAATATCAAAGTGGATTGTTTGGTCAGTCAACACTAGACCCGATATTCGTATTCAGACAGATCCTTGAAAAACAAGTGAAAATGATATCGAGACATGAATGTGTTGCTTGTGTGAGTTCATTTCAAATAGGAAAAGAAATAATAAATAATACTTAGTCACAATCAATTTAATTTAACTATGCAGACGACCGGTTTCGCTTTCTACAATATGCAAAGCATCCTTAGGTCTCGATACAAAGTTAAATAAATGCTGAAATAATAAAAACCCATATTAGGGTGTTGTCTAATAAAGATAAACAAATTAGATGTTATAAATTACAATAATTATGCCAATATTACATGTCTGTGGTTTTTCAAAATGAATAAAAATGAATAAAAAGGTATAAAAAGTTTAAATAGACAAGGTAAGACCAACAAATTGTTATAAAATAATCTATTAGATTGTAATAAATTAATAAATAAGCAAATAAATAAATATTACTTACATGCCGGTACTCTATTAATTGATGGATGGTAGAACATGGTTGAAACTATCATGTATTGTTGAATGGAGAACTTAAGTCTGCTATTGTAGTTGTTTGACAGTGAACGGGAAGTTCTTGAGGAGCTAGATTTGATCCAATGAAGTAGGGATAGGTGTAATGTAATTGTTTGTTAGATGAAAGTGAGGTTATATACCATTGTATTATTTAAAAGTTTTAAATAATACTTTTAAATAATACAATGGTATATAACATCACTTTCATTTAACAAACAATCACATTATACCTATCTCTACTTCATTGGATCAAATCTATCTCCTCAAGAACTTCCCGGTTACTGTCAAACAACTACAATAGCAGACTTAAGTTCTCTATTCAACAATACATGATAGTTTCAACCATGTTCTACCATCCATCAATTAATAGAGTACCGGACATGTAAGTAATGTTTATTTATTTGCTCATTTATTAATTTATTACAATCTAATAGACTATTTTATAACAATTTGTTGGTCTTACCTTGTCTGTTTAAACTTTTTATACCTTTTTATTCATTTTTATTCATTTTGAAAAACCACAGACATGTAATATTGGCATAATTATTGTAATATATAACATCTAATTTGTTTATCTTTATTAGACAACACTCTAATATGGGTTTTTATTATTTCAGCATTTATTTAACTTTGTATCGAGACCTGAAGATGCTTTGCATATTGTAGAAAGCGAAACCGGTCGTCTGAATAGTTAAATTAAATTGATTGTGAGTAAGTCTTATTTATTATTTCTTTACCTATTTGATATCGATACCTTCGATCTAATGATCAACAAAAGCAAAATAAAGTGAGTGAAAATTTATAGAATCAAAAATATGGGACAAAACTTTAACATTGGTAAATATAATAAATTATGAAGTGGTGCAACAGTTCTCTTATCTGGGAAGGATGTTACATATCACAAACATAATATCGGAATAGATAAGCAGAAAAATAACGCTTGCAACCAGAATATATTATAAACTTATTTATCAAACAACTTAGACGCCTTTGTTTAAAAAGCAAAACGAAGATACCATTACATATACCATACAGAACCTTTTCAGTCCTAATTTATGCAACTGAGGCATGAATGCTTACTAATAAAGATGAAAACAGACTATTAATATTCACAAAAAAAAATATTTAGAAAAATATTAGATCCAATAAATAGTATTGGAAGACTTAAAGGAAATCGTCGGTTTTAAGTGTTTTAATCATCGGTGTTTTTTAGAGGTATAGAACTTTGAAATGGAATAAAACAGCGATGATTTTTATAAATTGGCATGAAATTGACGTTATCCGAAAGATAGTCTTTCAACATTATAAGTTAAATATGATTTCTGACATATGACCGTCATGGCTGGCTCTGACGTAGTCTAATCTGAAGGTCCACCGTATATCGGCAATCGTCCGCTGTATATCGGCAATCACACGGCGAATGTTGCCCTCCAAGTGGTCAATTGTTCCATGTTTATCGGCGTAGACTAGTACCTTCACATATCCCTACATAAAATAGTCTAGCAGTGTTAAGTCGCACGATCTTGGAGGCCAATTCTCGGTCTAAAACGTAAAACTATGCCACTACTAGACTGTAACGTTCTGTCCAGCATCGTTTTTGAAGAAGTACGGTCCAATGATTCTACCAAACCATAAAACACACCAAATAGTCAGTTTTTTGGATATAATGTTTTTTTAACATACATTTGAGGATGGTCTTAGCTCCAAATAGGGCAGTTTTGTTTGTTGACGTAGCTATTGACCACCAAAAGTGAGCTTTATCTCTAAACAAAATTTCCTAATGAAAATCGAAGTCAACGGCAATCTCGTTTTGGACCCACTTGCTAGGTGATAATGTACCTTCAATTCTTGTTAAAGTTGGATTTTGTAAACACGCAAAGCTAGATCTTTCCACAAAATCTTCCATAAAGTGGATCGACGCGTATCCAACTGATGTGCACGATGGCAGATAGACCGATTCGCGTCTTTCTGTATGCTACGCTCTACAAAAGCAAGTTCGTCTGTACGCACTGTGTCTGTGGATGCATATTATCAGTTAGAGTAAACGTGGTGCAAAAACGTTTCATGGTTAATTGAATTAGTTGCTCTGATGTACTATTATCTTAGCCATAAAATGGACGTAGTGCGTGATACGTATTTCGAACAGAACCACAATTAATAAAAATAAATTTGTACAATTTAGAAGTGTTGTTCATGAGTCAAGTCTATATATGTTAAAAATTTAAACCCAACTGAACATAAATCACGGAGCAGCTGTTCAAATAACCGACAGTTAAAAAAGTGTTACTAACTTTAGCAACTCAAGTTGCTTTCATCAAGTCTTCGTAGACACACCTGTCTCAGGACTAGCAACTTCACGTTGAGTCATATGTCGCCATGTTACCAAATCTATTGGTAACTTTAACATCATAATAATTAATAACACATAATGTAAACTAAATTTAAACAAACAATTTTTAACGGGTTTTTACCCACACATTTAGTGGCTACATACATGTATACCTAGACACTGATGATGGAATATGGATTCCGAAAACGTTTTGTAATATCGCTCGATTGGGTTTTTAAATTATATACCTTTTATAAAGGATTTGTAATAAAAAAATTTCATATATCTTTTACTTAGACAATATTTTTATCTCTTACTATATTTATTATATGAACGCATTTGTAACTGCTAATTCGTATGTTTTAGGCCTCGAACCGAAATAGCGGAAATGGAAACTGTGCTGTGATTGAAGGAATATTTACATATGAACAAAGAAGAGATAACACCAAGAATCAGCGAATTAGCTGACAACTGTTTTTCTTTCGATGTATAGAAAACTAATCGTTTGTGCTCAGTAAAGGAATGTCAGGATTTGATATTATCTGGGTTACTTACATTTTAATATACAATATCTTGCCAAATCCTTATTTTTATCAAATTTGATAGGGTAGGTACTGACTATTTAAGAAAAACAATAAAAATTTATAAGGCATTCAAGCTATTTGATTGTCTCCTATAATTAATTGACGTCTAAAAATGGTAAAATCGAATAGTACTAGGTCTTTATACCAAAGACTTGCGTTTTTGAGATCGAGGTAAATCTGTCCACTTTTTTTGTTATAACTCAAAAACTATAATATATTTTAGTAAATATTTAATAAAATAGTGTTTATATAAAATTTACTTTCCTATCGAAATACCATCCTTTATATTCCCAAGTTTTTTTTTTGTTTAATAAATCTAATCCAAAAACAATGTGAAAAAAATTTTGATTTGTTTTAACTTTTATTTAACTTAACATTTTATGTTCTGTATCTATTTTCTTGTGGCATTTTAACGTAATTACCTATTTAAATGGAATAAGCCACAATTAAAGGTTAAAGTAAGTTTATTGACGTTCTAACTTCCACTTCGAAAATCGTTCTCCAAATACCTTTTGAGAACTTGACTTATTCCCATTTAAATAGTAATTACTTTAACATTTTATCCAAAGTATTTTGCCACTTAAGTATTACCAGCCCAATTGTTTCTAGATGTATAATTCTAGGACAAAACTAATAAATTTTATAGTTATCTTTAATCAAACCTAAATAGTTGCTTGTAAATATTGTAAGAGCTCTAAGCTGCGTAAAAAGTGGCTAATAATAATATACTGATTTTCTAGTAAATTGACTGCCATGATGTCAGTTTTTTGGATTTTAAGCATTTTATCAACTTTTTGTTTTTTCTCGTTTTGTAAAATGTCGTCTTGTCATGTGGTTTATAGTGACACTGAACATATTAAAACAAATAAAACTTGTTCTTTGCTTTTTATTTTTGCAGAATATTTTTCTTAAAATATGCATATTTTGTGTAGAGACTTTTTACGTTTTTGGGTACGTTATCTTTGTGTTAAATTTATCCAAGTATACACAAAAATATAATAATAAAATGTTAATCATTTCTACTAAATGTAACAAAATCATTAATTCTTTTGTAGATTATATATATATAATATATATATATATATATATATATATATATAAATTAGCTCTCCAAGCCTAGAAGGCCCATGGCTTGGTTTACTAATTCTTTTTCATTCTTTTCTGTTTGTTGCTTTATTTTTCCAGTTTGGTATTTTAAGTTTTTCTATGTGTTTTTCAACATCCTTCTTCCACCTGGTTTTCGGTCTGCCTTTCTTTCTTTTCCCTCCTATTCCTCCCATTAGCATTATTTTTGGCAGTCTCGTGTTTCCCATCCTTTGGATGTGTCCCAACCATCTCAGTCTTTGTGACTTTATGATCCCTACGATATTCGGTTCTCCATACATCTCCTCTAATTCCATATTTGGTCTTTTTATCATTATACCATTCCATATTTTACCTCCAAATATTTTCCTGAGGACTTTTCTTTCCCAGACTTGCAGCAGGACTAGCTCGGATTTGTTCATTGTCCATGTTTCACTGGCATATAATACAATAGGTGTTATTACTGTCTTATATATTCTTATCTTAGCCCTTCTAGATATGTTTTTGCTTCTTAATAAATTGTTTAGTGCAAAAATACAACGGTTACCGGCCATAATTCTCGCTTGGATTTCTTCCTTCATATTTGGTCTTCTCGTGAATGTCGCTCCTAAATACTGGAATATTTCTACTTCTTCGAATTTATATGTTTTTTCATCTTTTATTACTGTCAGATTTTGTTCTGTAGGTAATCTCTTTCTGTCCATTTCATATATTTGGTCTTTTCTTCATTTATGTACATCCCTTTCTTTCTCGCTTTCATTTCTAATCTTTTTGTTATTTCTTTTAATTCTTGCGTACTTCTGGCTACCAATACAATGTCGTCAGCTAATGCTAAGCATTGGTGTTTTCTTTGATATATATGTCCTGACCTGTTGATTCCAGCTTCTCTGATGGTAACTTCGGGGACGATACTGAACAACAGCGATGACAGTGGGTCTCCTTGTCGCACCCCCTCACTGACCTTAAACTTATCTATTTCTTCGCCATTTATTTTAACCCTATCCTCTGTTCTTCGTAGTGTCACTTTTACCATTCTTATCAGTTTTTCACTAATTCTCATTTCACGTAGTGGTTTGTATATTTCTTTGCGTTTTATCCTATCGAACGCTTGTTTAAAGTCGATGAATATGAATTGTAGGTTTCCCGTATTCGTAGCTTTCTGCTTGTATTTCGCGCAGTAGGAAAATTTGATCCACTGTGCTGCGCCCTCTTCTGAATCCACATTGATATTCCCCTATGTCATTATCTATATTTTAAGATAGCTTATCTTATATATATATTGCAAGTATTTTATATGCAACATTTAGTAGGGCTATTCCCCTGTAATTGTGGAATAAACTTTTGTCGCCTTTTTTGTAAAAGGGCATATATATATATATATATATATATATATATATGCCCTTTTACAAAAAAGGCGACAAAAGTTTATTCCACAATTACAGGGGAATAGCCCTCTAATACATTATATATATATATATATATATATATATATATATATATATATATATATATAATGTACGGCACATAATGAGATATAGAGCCATCAAAGAAGACAAATGGATGGACAGCAAACGATGGCGGTCGAAATGCTAAAAGCGGCAGAGGCTGTAGGAACTTCGCACATATATATATATATATATATATATATATATATATATATATATATATATATATATATATATATATATATATATATATATATATATATATGCATTAAAATTGTTTAAATGATATGATTATGACTCTATCACAATTTTTAATTCTTTTATCTCATGGTTAAATTCGTGCTTCAATATCTATGCTATTACATGTGAAAGGTAAGGTCCAAAGAATACCGGAATAATAAAAAACACATATGATCTAACACTATATATTGAAATAAAAATAATGAAATAATTCACACTCAAAAGTTTTCAATAAACAAAATCTCATATAATAATTCTCAAAATTTTTTTCTACGTACGTGAACAATCAAAATTAATGGTACAAACAATATTAGTTGAAATCTCAAAATCCAAGTATTACTCTAAATCTCCTAATCAAAATATTTATATCCTTTCTAAATTAAGTGTAAAAAATTGTGTTATCAATGAAAGAAAAACTGCAGAAAACAAAACTATCTCTCTCTGATGATGAGTGGTCCAAATCCTTGTTATTTGTAGACTATACTATTTACTCGTGGCCGCTCCCTAAGTAATCAGCAATCTTACAATAAATTATTGCAAGTATCTCGTCCTTAATGATCTCCTTCAAATGCACGAATCGTTCAAATTATGCTAGCTTCTGCTTCTCTCAATAAACTGAATCTCTCGTTGGCCTGAGTGAAAAATGACTCTTGAAATATCTTTTCTTTACGATAAACTGAATCTCTCGTTGGCCTGAACAGTGACTCTTGGAATATAAGTAGAAAAATATGACTTACAATATTTTACTGGATCAGCTTCTGTCAGATACACTAACTACACGAAAACTCACAAACTTTCACTGCTACTGCTTCCTACCTCTGGGAAACTACCCGAGAACAACGGCCGTTCGCCTTGCACCCTTGGAAACCAACTAACCATCTTTTTTCACTCCGAAATCTAGCTAAACTTTCATTCCTACATACCTCCCACCTTTTATAATCTCCACCAATCAAAACTCGTCACAATTCCCCATTCTTTCATTCCGATAACAAACAAATTTTTACCTATAATTATAAAATTTCCTAAAACTTATTTACAAATAATATTTTTCTATAATTCTTAAAAACTAACAAAAACATCTTTCCAAATCTCTTCTATTGTCTATAATCACTACGTTAATGTATTTGGAAAACCCGGTTCAATTGTTCTTTGGATTTCACCTAAAATTATGCGGGTCACTCAAGTATAGTATAACAAAGGAAATAATTTATGCATAGATTACATTTTGTTTAATACAGGTAATCCAAAAATTTAAAAACTTTCTTCTTCGAAATGTTTGTTGGTTATTATCCTACTTATCTGGATTATTTTAATGTTTTTGAACTTTGAAATATTTTAATTAAACCAATATTTTTCTCGATTTTACATATCATAACAATATATATATATATATATATATATGCGAAGTTCCTACAGCCTCTGCCGCTTTTAGCATTTTAGCATTTAGCATATATATATATAGATATATATATATATATATATATATATATATATATATATATATATATATATATATATTTATATGCGAAGTTCCTACAGCCTCTGCCGCTTTTAGCATTTTAGCATTTAGCATATATATATATATATATATATATATATATATGCGAAGTTCCTACAGCCTCTGCCGCTTTTAGCATTTCGGCCGCCATCGTTTGCTGTCCATCCATTCGTCTTCTTTGATGGCTCTATATCTCATTATGTGCCGTACATTTTCTTCCCAGGCTGAAGGCCAACCCCTTCTTTTTCTTTGTTGTAGTATATAATTTAAAGCTTGCTTTGGCCATCTATTTTCATTCATTCGCTTCATGTGACCATAAAACACAAGTTGTCTCGTTTCAATTCTGTCCTGATTCCTGATATCATCTTTTTTGGAGACACCACACGCTCTCCTTAGAAAATCCATTTCCACTACTTCTATTATTTTTTATCTTTTTTCGTGGTATGTCAAACTTCTGTCCCATAAGTCATAATAGGCTCTACCAAGGTTCGATAAATTGTCAATATCTTGTCTTGTCTAATATCTTAAGACCATAGTAGGAAGTTTAGAATATTTACCGCTTTTTTCGATGCTGCTTTCTATTTTCGATGTCTCTTTTGGTAGTGCCTTTTTTAGATATTATAGATCCGAGATATTTATATTTATTGCATGTTTTTGTGTTACTAATTTCTAACTGTAGA